AGCCCCCAGCGGCTGGCCACCATGCACGCCGTGCAGGGCCCCCTCTCTGCACCAGCACGGCGGGCTTCACAACACCGCTGCGCTCAGGCACCTGGACTTGCTCTGCTTCTTCACTTGCTGGTACTGCAATTACTCTGAAAATGTAACCATGGCAATCTACTGAACAATAGGGTGGAAAAAGCCACCGGGCTCTGCATGTGTAAACATCTTTCTCTTTCGTTGCAAAATCGTCCTAATTTCCACTAAACTGTTACATAAGTTATACACACACCTGCCATTTAGCAAATTCCCTGGAACTAATCATTAGACATCAGTCACCAGTGACCACTAGCTTGCAAGAAATAATCTTTTTTAAATGTCTGTGAACTAATGTGAACTCACAGATAATGGTGACACCTATTTGCTCAATAAAGAGTGCTGTACACTGTGTCCTGATGTCTGCTTGATGGCTCTCAGTGTCTGCAAGATGTAGACACTATTCTGTGTCACCAGATGCACAGGAATACAATTGCACTCAATTGTCCCTTTTTTTGATAAAATGGTTCACACTTTATCTCTTATCCTATGTAGATTTCATATTGTACACACAGCATTTCAGATGGCATTGCTACTCCAAGAGCAGACTGGACTTTACAACCAATATTATTTAAGCACATTTTACTTAGAGATTAAATACATTTCCAGAGAGTCTTGTGAGACAAATTGCAAGAGTTTGAAAAGTTTTGTTAAGATCAGTTAATGCACTGAGTGCAAAATACTAAAACAGGTCTATTAAATATTAGAAACCAGTATAAATGTATTTAATTTCTTTACTCTTTCTATGTTAAACATGTTTTCTTCCAGATCTCATCTTCAGCTTAGAATAGACAGCATGACACTGCCCTGCAACTCTTCCTGTATTCACTTTGAAGAAACTGCGGACATAACTCTATTGAGAAAGTGATGTGGGAGAAAAACCGAAATTTTCTTGTGAAGTTGAGGAAATGCTGTCAAACAGGATAAATGAATTTTATGCACAGCTGCGTTTTAAAACCAGTGTCAATAATAACAATCAGAGTGCAATTCTCTTGAGCAAAGACCATCTATTTTATCTAGTATGTCCTATTAGACAGGTCCAGAATGTATGGATGCACCACCGCAGACTTCGCACACCCTGTTTTGATAATCTGCCATATACTTCTGCCTTTCACCTGGATATTGTTGGCCTGCTTTTCTGATTGCAAGCAGATCTGAGTAATGCCAGTGTGCAGCCATCAATGGTAGCAGTGCCCATGTTGTGAGGAAAATGAGAGTCCTGCTGCAAAGGATTAATTCAGTTCAACAAACACACAGGTTTTGTGAGTGCTGAGAGGCTTCAGCTTTTCCCAGCATTACAGATGCCATCTGTAAACAGTTTATGTTGGAAAATGTCATCTACTGCTCATGAAACAGCATAAGCCCTACCAAGTGCTGAGGGCAGCAGAAGAAATATACAGGATTAATAAATAATACTGATCATAATTAAACTATACAAAATAATCCTCAGAGGTGTATGAGAGTTTTCTAAAACTCAAAGGCTTTTATTATTTAAAAGTGAGATTGCAGAATTCCTTGTCTGGAGACACCTCTTATTCATAGCTGAACAGAACATTTACTGCAGTGTGACAAACAAAATTTTGAAGAATTTAAACTGGGCATTTTATCCTGTAACTCAAGGAAAAGAAAATGTATAAATGTTTTCAGATTTCCTAATATGGAAAAAAAAAAATACCTATCCTGTCAAGTCTATCGATTGCCACCGTTTCAAAGGCCCTTCTCATCATGGGGTACTCTTCCAGCACCTCATTGAAGTTGTCCACCGAGAGAGAATACAGGCGACAGTACGTGTCTGCTCGTACACTGGCAGTTCGACGGCCTTTTGTCAAAAGGCAAATCTCTGGGGAGAGAAAAATCCAACACACAGAGAAAATAAAGAAATTAGTGAACGATGCAAAACTTAAAATCTAGGAAGTGACTCAGTGCTAACAAATAATAATTTGGTACTCAGTGGCAATTTTTCTATTGCTGTATATGCAAGGTTGCAGGGACAATTCTGAAGGTGTTTGATTCTATTTTTGCTACTCTGAAAAAATAACTAATGTCCTTTAAGAGCCCTGCTTATAGGTTTTCTTGGTCTGGACTCTGATATTATCAAGTCTTTTTAAAAAAAATTCTTCATTTTAAGAAATGATGTCAGCTGTCAAAACCAGCTTGCTGACTCAATTAACCCAAGTGATTCTATTGATTTTCTTTTAAATATCCAGCTGACATAGAGGACCAATTCCTTTAATCATTTACCAGATTTACTAAACTAACTTAATACATGATATAATGATATTTGAATATAATACCTGTTCTGAGAAAAAATGTTTCAAGCATGAAAATGCCTTCTGTTTCTTTAGGTTTTATGTCCTAGGTATTCTGGGAGAATAAACTTAAGAGTTTAGACTTTTTTTTCTCGTTGGGCTAAAAACCAGTCCCCTTTTAACCTCTGCTTACTCCATTTGATTAGGCTAGTAGCCTTTCTCTGCAAGTGACTCCAACAAGAATTCATCGTTCTGGAACAGAGGAGACCAAAGCCATATGCAGACTCCCAAGAAACAGCCTCAAACTCGTGACCGTTGATTCCAGAATGCACAGGGAGAGGCTTAATGGATAAAGGCCAAAGTCAGTGTCCAAGGTTTGTAACAGTAAAATGTATGGGGTAGAATATTCAAAATACAAAAAATTAAAAAGTCAATTGCAAATAGTATTTGAGTTGATCTAATTTTCAAGCTTGGGAATAAGAACACACTTAGAAATATCAACAATTCTTGGGCTCAGGCAGGGTGAGAGATAGTTTTCCTATCCAGTTCTAGCACTCAAGAGCAGTGAGTTCATATTTGTTCATATTTAAATACCAGCTAGAAAACTGTCTCCTACCCTGCTTGTGTGTCTATCACAAACAATCATTCTCAATCTCAGTTAAACTATCATTCTCAAGTGTGGAAACTCAAATATTCTTCATTAAAAAAAATAAAGAATTATGCAGGCTTTGCTTCATATCTGTACCGTGCTAGCATAGTTCTTTCTTTTTTTGCATGTATTTAACAAAATGCATCTCTTATTATCTAGAATGATTAGAATGTTTATGGTTTTTCTTCTCATGCGTCTTGAAGAATTTCCTCATGCCACCTAACCCTGAAGGCTTAGGGGCTGAGATGCTTAAGTTATAGCGGATAAATCAAAGCAAATTAACGTGGGACCAGTACTAGTACAGAATGTACTTAAACCCCAACAGCTTTGGGGAGAATTTATAGAGTCTAATGGGTATTGTAAGAGTCTTGACTTAATGTCCCTCACAAAACTTGATGCCCATGAAATAATGACAGTTTACTGTAAAGAGCCAGACAGGTCAAACAGAAATCAGTCCTTTCCTCTTCTATCCCTTAGCTCACCCTGACCCCTTCTCCTTTGATTGAACCCATTGCTTTTTAGTTACAAGAGTGAGCAGGACATTTTGCCCAAAGGGAGCAGTTAAATGCAGTGAATGCCTGCTCCATTTCCTAAGATATTCTTTAGATTTCACATAGAATAAAGTTTTACAATACATGGTTGAAATTAGAGATAACTAGCTGGAAAATCTGTGTGACTAATGATCACCTTTTGATTTTCAGTTTCTTCACATCAAACTGCTGCAAACAATAACAGAGACAAAAGGAGATGACTTCTGCTACACTCAACAAATAAAAGTACTTGAGTTTAAAAAACATCACATGCCCAAAACAGAACAGAGGTTGACTATGGATCCCTACCATTCTGAAGAGTGTAAAAAAACCCAGCGAAAGTACTGTTTTCATCATTATTAATCTAGAACACTGTATTTTAGATTACTTCTACAAGAAGGATGGGAAGAAACCGTAAGAGACAATGTTGGATTTCATGACAGGACAAAGGGACCATGGAATTCATGGGTATTACTGCAATAAATCCCCGTCTTTGATCTTCTATTATTCTTGTCAAGTAAGGGGAATGGAAAGAATCACTGAAAGCTATACATTGTATTCTGCAAACCTTGTCAGCCCACAACTTACGGTTGAAAACCACATTTTTGGAAGGCATTTTAATAACCATAACGGAGTCCAAGATAATAAAGGATGGGTCAGAAAAGACATTAAAAATGTCCCAGAACCTAGAAACGGATCAGGGAGTGCCACCTGAGTGCTCCTGTCTGCTCAGGAGGCTGGGAAAGCTTTGTGTTCTCTGCTCCAGTTGAAAGGTCTCATTCAAAAGACGAACTGCAGAATTCTGACAGAAAAAGTTCCATGTGATGAATACCCATGTAATGCATTTCCAGCAATGTTTCTTGACTGATTATAGATGTATTATAGTAACTGATACATCATCTATATTGCTGTGTTATATTTATCAATAGCATCATTCGTACTCTGGCCACAAGATTAATGTGTTTGTTAATTGTATGTGTTCTGCATTTAAGTTCATTTCATCTATTAGCTATTTGTTTGGAGCAAACTCTCAAGCATAACAAGACATAATATATGAAATCTCATTTACTTGGACCAGAGAGGAAGAACACAGAATGTCAAAATGTGTACCCATCAAACACTTGTGTTCTTTTAAGTAAATCAAAGCAATTATTTACAAATAAATAAACAATAGATTTCATGAAGAGGACAAAGTAATGAAAATATCCATGATATATTTAAAATGAGTCTTAGTGGCATCAAGTACACCAGGTGCCCTCAACAATTCTCTCTTTGATGTTCAATTGATTAAAACGGACTACGAAATACAAACAATAGCACAGGAGTGTGCAGTGAAACACAAAGGGCACAGACTATTTTCAAGCAGCTTGGACAAACAGGGTTCTCTCTTAGCACAGAAAGCAGCGGCAGCATATTACTCACTAATATTCCCATCTGCGGTTGGCATGGTGCGTTGCCTTCACGCTGACACTTTCAAAGTGTCAAATACTTCTATCTTTCCTTTCCAAACAAAAGAATGTCTTCAATTCCAATTAGTAATTATGTATAGGCTACAATGAACCTGTAATTCAACTCTTAAGGCAAGTTTTACTTTAATTATTTAATCTCTTTGGACAACTGTTCCCTGTAACATTCTGAAACAAACATCAATCACTGCACTAACGAAAAATGACGATTTAAAAGCACTAAACAATGCTAAGAACACTCATTTGTTCTTATAGTTCATATTTAATACAAATGTAATTAATTTGTGTGTGAAAATGACAATTTCTGTTCTGCTAGCATCAGATCTTTCCTGCAGAACAATGCAGCTCTCAAAAGAAACATGGAAAAGCACTCAAATACAAAGTACTTTCTGCTGTCAAGACATTGACTAAAAAGCACAATGGTACAAGTTTAAAGCTAAGTCTGTTCTGAAACTTATAATAATCAAAACTGATCACCAATGTTTCAGCTGCACACATACATGGGACATGGTTTAGAGGTGTACTTGGCAGTGTTAGGTCAACGGTTGACCTCAATTATCTTAAACGTCTTTTCCAATCTTAATCATAGAATCCTAGAATGGTTTGAGCTGGAAGGGGCCTTAAAGATCATCCAGTTCAAACCTCCCCTGCCATGGGCAGGGACACCTTCCATTCCACCAGGTTGCTCAAAGCCCCATCCACCCTAGCCTTGAACACTTTCAGGGAGGGGGCAGCCATTGCTTCTGTGCACAACCTCTTCCAGTGCCTCACCACCCTCACAGTAAAGTATGGTACATAGTAATACATAGTAATATGTATAAAATTAATACAATGAATTATTATCATATGCACAGCTTTTTTTTTTCTCTTTTTTTTTTTGCAAAGATTCAAGGACCAGAATTAAAACAAAAGTTTGCTTTACTATGTGCAGGAATTATTTGTAGTAATGAAAAAATAAGTTAACTAGCATTTTAGACATGTAGTGCTTTTACATTAAATTAAAGTAAAACTAATTAGCAGTTTCTATGCCTTTCTGAACTACAGCAGTTTATTAAGTACTCTGTCCCCTTCCAAAGTTGTAACAGGTTTCCCATCATCTGTCATATTTAGCATTACAGGATATAACAAAGCGTCCTTCCAGCTGAGGGCAGCTGACTATCGCTTCAGTTCCTTGGCAGGAAACTTGTTTCATCTTGTAGCAGGCATATATGTTGCTGTGCAAATGGGGAAGCAGCTATTCAGACCATCTGGTTACTTTCAGCAGCAGAAGAAAGATGGAAAATTAAAGGAATTCAAAGGCTTGGGTATGTCAGTCCAACGCATCTGGGAATGTTTTATGAGAATGGGAGAGTGGATTAGAATATTATTTATTTTACAGAAAGTAATGAGTTACTAAACCATTACAGACAAAACTTAGGTGTTCGAAAGCTATTTCCATCCACCCATCTTCTATGCCTTCAGAGCAAATTTCTCAGAACTACCAGGTTTAGGTTATTCTTCTTTTCAAACATAACTCTTCATAACAGCAACTCTTTGGCATGGTGCAAAGATCAATAGTTCTTGACGACCTTCAAGCCACTGAAGTTGTCCACTGGCCAGAAACTTGCTAATGGGCACTTTCTTGGTGTGCCAGCCACAGGAAGGGACTTGTAGCTTGGGGCACTCTACTCCCAGCTTTACAACAAGTAATATGAATGATGTTTTATTCTTTAGGAAAGGACTATATAAACTTCAAGCAATTAAAAAAATCAGTAAGCTTCTAGACACCCCTTTATTTCAGAAATGAAGTGATTTCCCTGTTCCATGTTGACTTAACCATCTCTAATACAGAAAACAGGGAAAAGCTGTTTCATACGATAAAAATGTGATTGCTTTAACACATACTTCTGCATTTCTGACTCATTTTTCTTTATTAAGCTCTGGAAAACATCAATTGCATCTATCAA